CATACAAGAAGCTCAAAAAATTTTGTCTCTTTTGAGTTGTCGTAAGCCTCTCCTATAATAGTACGGAGCCATCCCTTGGACCTTGACTAGGTGCTGGGCGCACCTCCCCTCAGGAGACAGTCGCCAGCTTTTCCATTGGTGATATAGTGGTAATTTCTTACCCTATCAAAGAGATCTTTTAGAGTTTTTCCAAACTCGAATCTCCAACCTCTACCACCTTAAGGAAGTTGAGATTAAATCTGATACCATTGGATTAAGTTAGCCTCAACTTTCTTAAAGTGCTAGAGGTTGGAGGTTTGAGTCTAGAAAAACTTTAAAATATCTCTTTGATGGGGTGAGGAATAACTACTATACCATCAGTGAAAAAGCTGACAACCGTCTCGTGAGGGGAGGTGTGCCTAGCACCGAGTCAAGGCCCAAGGGATTGCACCGTGCTGTTACATCTCCTGCAATGCAAGCCACATGAATGTCTGAATACATCAACGGCCATGCCATTTCCAAATTTTGGTCCAAAAATTATCAAAACGTATATTTGAAACAGACCTCAAAGTCGTATACATGGATGCCATAGAGTATCGCCCATTAGCTTGGAGACCCCATACCAATTCATCAGGTCCATCATCACGCACTGGCAAATGATGGCCAATGATCAGATCAAGTGTGTCTTCTCTTAAAAAGTTCTTCGAGAGCTCAATATTCCATTGCCCTCGATTGTCCACCACTTCGCTTACCCTCATATTAGCTAGCTCCCAATTAAGAGGCTGAGTACTCTCTTGAGATAGGATCTTACTGTTGGGCAGCCACTTATCTTTGTAGAAAAGAACAGAATGACCATCCCTTATATCCTATCTCGAATTTGCCACTACCTTTTGCCCAAGAACCACCAGATTTTTCTAGAGAGGAAAATCATTAGATTTAGCAATAGCTTGCTTGCTGAGATCCATCTTCCTCTGATATTTATCCCGTAAGATAGTCCTCCTTACTCTGTCACCCTTAGAGGCATATATATCTTTAAAAGTGAAAATTAATTGCAAAAAACAAGATGTTAGTTATAAATAATAATGGCTGGTGATCGGCAAATAATGAAAGCTCGATTGCAACTTGTGCAAGATCTTATACGTGTACCCTTGCATTTACTTATTTAATCCCAAACAAAACTACAAAAGGCATCTGATTGCTATACCAAAATTGAAACGGTAGTTAAATAACTAACATATTTTATTTTTTATATTAGAGTTGGAAACATGCACTTATTCCAGTGTTACGTAGAAATTCGGTTCTCTCCGTCTGTATTATCTTTACAAATGATAAATAAAAGGAAAAATGATAATTGAGTCTCTTAATTTGTTCAATATTTAAAAAAATTATTCATATAATATATCGTAGTCGTTAGTCTTAAACACTGGTCATATGTTTAGAGTAATAAATAAATAATAATTCTTTCAAGTTGCAAAAAAAAAAAGTAGTTCCTTTACAATGAAATCAAATACTATTAATTTCCTAAATAAATAAAATAGTGAAAAGAAGCATTTGCTTCACACTTCTCAGTCCAAAGTCCAAACGCAGCAATCGTATCGATTTCATCGACAGGCCTACCCAGGCTCTTTTGAAGTTGAACTGGGCGCATGAAAGTGGAGATATTTTAATTTTAATTTGTTTATAGTTTCCGTTTGCAAAAAAAACATAGAGTAAAGTAATAAACTTAGTCATATATTATTTTTTAAAGAACATTTGATAGCTTGAATTATTAGATGGTGTAAAATAAATCACAAACTTTTAAAAATAAAGTATCAATAGCCCGCCATTAACTTCAACAAATGGATATTATTTGAGACTCATAATGACACATGACATGACATGAGCACGAAACGTCAGTATGGTGTACAAATTTAGTTATAAACTATTTTTTGAGGAGCATTGGATAGCCTCTATTATAAAAAAAAGGATCATCCTATACCTTCTCCTCAATTTTGACCAAATACCATTTATTTTCATACTTATGAGGCTCACAAAACATTAATCTTTTCAATCTTCTTGCCTTCATTCTCAATATCAACTCTAGAATAAGAGGTTCAATGCATTCTTATCTAAAGACATTCATGAGGTCGATGTCAATGAAATAGAAGCTTAATTTTACTATACATGAGAGAAGCTTAATTCTAGCTTAATTTAGTCATGAATTATTTCTTCTACTTTGTTAGCATTTGTCTTGGTGAATGTCTTCATATAATAACTCTTTGAACTTCTTCTTTTTAAGTCGAGATTAAAATGAAGGCAAAAAAATTAGAGAGATTAATGCTTTATAGGCCTCATGAATATAAAAATAAACAATACTTAGTCAAAATTAAAGGAAAAGTGTCGGATGGTCTATTTTTTATAGTAGAAGCTACTCAGTGCTCCTCAAAAAATAATTCATAGCTAAATTTATATCTTTACTATACTGACGTGTCGTGCCACGTGTCATTATGGGATTCAAATAACGTTCATCAGTTGAAGTTAATGACGGGCTACTAGATGCTCTATTTTTAAAAACTCGTAATTTATTTTGCACCATCTAATAGTTTAAACTATTAAATACTTCTCAAAAAATAATATATGATTAAATTTATACTTTTATTCAAGAAGATAACAGGAGCTATATATCAATAGCTATACACGCGCAAGAGTCGCTTCCTTTTGGCTTTGCTAGTATTTAATTATTCTGAAAGCCAGATCGCACCAGTCGATTTGATCAGATAAATCGATAATCAATTTAAGGCCCATCTGGGTAAATGACTTAATGGCATTTGAAATGTACTTCCTATCTTTTCAAATTTTAAATATTGTTTAAAAAATTTTAATTGGATAAAATGATTTTTGAAATGTGAATTCAAAAAAAAGAAAGCTTCGAATATGAATTTTAAAAGATAATTTTGGGATGGATTTGAAATGCCAAATGAGAGTTACAGCATTTAATGAGATAAATTAATATGCATGATTTTGTAAATAATCACGCTACTCCTTATTTTTGAAGAAAATTTGCAATTGGTTCTGACTTTAAGCATTCTACAGATGAAGATATGATTAATACTAATGATAATATTAACAAACATACATTTTTATCATTAATTCTAAATATAGTTTTAAGTGTGACTTTTGATAAAAAGATGAATAAAATTTACGATTTATATTATAGTTTGACTTACAATTCTAAACATATTATAGATTAAACCATTAATTATATTAAAATTTAACATTAATGAATATTAAAATATTTTTTACATAATTTCTTGCCTGACATATTAAACTTTAGATTTTTATTCTTACCATTTAGCATATTAAATTTTATGTTATTTTAAATTTTTTGCATTTTTTAAACATTTATAATATATTATATTTATATACCAATTATCATAAATTAATGTTCTTTTTTGGTCATTGTATATTTAAAAATACATTTTAAAAGCACAAATCATCATTAATTTAAAAAATTTTTAATTTACTAAACTAACTTTTTAAAAAATGTATCTAAATATAAATTTTATTACAACAACTGACTTTCATTAAACTTATTTTTATTAAATAAACTTTCAAAAAATAAATTTTTGATAAACTAAAAATCAAACACAGGCTCAATATCCAATCCAAATGTGAAAAAAAAGTAGTTGGCTAAAAAATCAATTAATAACAAGTAAAAATTAGTATGATAGACTAATAAGATTGGGTTTAGTAGAAGGAATTAATTTTTTATAATTTGATGAATTAAAATTTAAATTTTCACTAATAGAAACGTCCACACTGAGTTCACAACTCGAATAGAATGTTATCAATGAGTAATAAAAAAAATCACCATAACTGCTAGCTGTATAGGTTAGACATTTGTTTATTTTTCAAAAAAAATTAATTTATATATTGTTAAAATACAAATTATACTTTTTTTTTCGTTTGTAATGAGTATGGAAAAGAAAAAAAATAAAAAATATATATAAAAACATGCATGTTTGTGTACTCTGAGCTTTAAATATTAGTTGGGATGACCGTAAAGGAGATAAATTGATATTATCATATTATATATATATATATTAATATCTATTTGATTAAAAAATTACATAAAATGATCTAAAAATTTAAAAAATTTAATCAATATTATTTTTTTAAAAGGTAATTTTTTGTAATTTATTTGTAAATATTATTATTATTATTATTTATAAATTTTCATACACAATTTATAGTTCAGCTATAAATTTCTGAAAAATTAAATTAAATTTTTAATATTGAAAAAATAATTTATAAATTTTGAATGAATATTTATAAATAATAATATTTAAATAATTAAATCTTAAAATATTTAATAATTTAAAAATTATTTATTAAAGTTTATTTTAATAAAATTTTAAAATATCTAGCGCTTTTAAAAAGATTTTAGAACAAATTAATACATTAAGACTTGGTTAAAGTTTTACCTATCAGTGCACCTCAGTCTCTCAAACACGTCACTTCAGCAATAAATAAAAAAGTTAATGGGAGATTAATAAAAAAAAAAATTTTGCTCCTAAAAAATGATTAAGAAAAAAAGAACTTTAATCCATGGTTTGGATAACTGTAATGCGGCATTGATTGATATTATCATATATATATATATATAGATATATTAATTTTTTGTTTTTATTATTATGAATGAATATTTCTTTTTATTTAAACTATACTATTTTATTCGTTCGACCCCATGACTGTACCCGAAACAGGTTGAGTATGATTCTCCTAACACTGTCCAGGAGGGACGATTGTGGCATTTCCTTTGGGTGCTCCGATTATTTTGAACAAAAGAAGGTGAAGGCCCAAAAAAAAAAAGAAAAGAAAAGAAAAGAAAACTCCAATAGAACTCCAACAACCCTCCTTCGTCAACTAACGCGCTCTGGAGAGCCGAACGAGTTCACATGCGACTCTTGAATCTTCACCATCGACCTCTCCTCCATTTTTGACCCTTCCCACATTCAACGTACCCATATAAGACCACCCCACTACTCCCCCCCTCCCCTTTATATCTCAACTCTTCTCTCCTTCTCTTACTAATCAATCAAAACTCTCTAACTCTACATACTTCTCCCATTCTTTCTCCATTTTTCTGGCTAGCTTCCCACACAAATTCAAATGGAGATTCAAGAGAACCAAATAGAGTCCTGGTCGGACGCTGGGAGTGCGGGAAGCAGGAGCACGCGAGTCGGATTCAGTGGGCCGTTAGTGACCAACAAGAGGAACAGCAGCAAAAAGAGCGCCAGGTTCAAGGACGAGGACGATGAGTACGTTGAAATAACGTTGGACGTCAGGGATGACTCCGTGTCTGTACAGAACATCCGGGGGGGTGACTCCGAGACGGCGTTGCTGGCGGGCCGTCTGGAGAAGAGGCCGTCGTCGACGTCGCTAGGGTCTCACTTGTCGTCCCGGTTTAGACAGGTGTCGCAGGAGCTGAAGCGCATGACTTCTCTGAAGAAGTTCGACAGGGTGGACAGGACTAAGTCAGGAGCTGCTCGTGCTCTCCGAGGTCTCAAGTTCATGACCAAGAATGTCGGGACTGCTGGTTGGTCTCAGGTTGAGAAGCGCTTTGATGACTTGGCCGTCGACGGAAAGCTACCCAAAACTCGCTTTGCCCAGTGCATAGGTATTAATTCCTTGCAGAATCAAAAGTCTGCAGGCACACGCGCACTAATATGGATTACGCATGAGACTAACTTTAATTTGATAACTCGATGATGATGTTGATTAGGGATGAACGAGTCGAGTGAGTTTGCTGGTGAGCTATTCGAGGCATTGGCTCGTCGAAGAGGCATAGTATCGGCTTCCGTAACAAAGGACGAGCTTCGTGAATTTTGGGAACAAATTACGGATCAGAGCTTTGATTCACGATTGCAAACGTTTTTTGATATGTGAGTTTTCCACTGATTTATTTTATTTATCCTTTTATCTGCCTTTATTATTTTTTGGCCTGATCTTTAGTTTCATTGCCTTGAATTACCATTTAAATCAAAAAAGAAAAAGAAAAAGAGGGACTATACTGGGACTCCCTTCCCCCAACTCTGTGCAAAACAACAGGCTCAATCAGCCTTCCCTTTGTTATGAGAAAAACAAAGGCACGTTTTATTCATTTATGGGCTTCAACACAGAGGGGCGAGAGTTGGCCTTGGGTGTAAAAATAATATATATAATACTCAAATTTTGGAAAGATCATGAGAAATTGTGGACTTTGTCTGGAGATCACTATCATGCGCTATTGCGCTCTCACGCGTCAAAGGCAACACCGAGCGCATTTGGCGCATCTTGCATGTGGTCATGACAATATAGGCGCATCCACATTATATTTTCAGTAAATTTAAATACACTTCATCTCCTCACCAAAAAAAAAAAAAAACGGGACACATATCCGAATTAATATTTAATTGAGTGTATTATAAAATTCTAGGTGTTTTTGTAGTACAACATTTTTTAGACCAATTTTTGCAGTACAACTTGTCTACGTCTGGGAGCTAAAAATTAGTAAATTAGTAAACTTGTCAACCTCTTTATATACAAGCACAAAATAATAAAAAAAAATATAAGTCTTTTTATAGGACAACGACTGTAAAAACAAAAGAGAAAAGAGAAAAGAGGAAAAAAATGTATTGCGAAAATGGCGCAATAATTAGACGGCGAGGTTAGGCAAGGAACAATGGTACATGGACAGACATATATGAGATATCTTTTGGTTTTCTTGGACAACAGGACACTAAATATATTAATACACGGAATAACGATCTTTTCTTCTTCCTTTTTTGGTCTGTGGATCGAGATTAATGATATAGTTGGTATTCAACAAAAGTCAAAAGCGAAAGGAATAAAAAATTATAAACGATACGTAAATGTCAAAGTTGTAAAATGCTGATTAGGTCTACATGCACTTGCTATATCCATCCTCACTTGATATATTTGACCAATGGCAGGGTCGACAAGGACGCGGACGGGCGAATTACCGAAGAGGAAGTGAAAGAGGTGAGAATTCAACACCTAAAAAAATCCACGGCATTAATTAATTAGATTGCTCAGTTTAAATTTGGTGTTCTAGAAGCAGTTCCAAATCATTCACTTTTCTTTATTTTATTACAGATTATTGCCTTAAGTGCCTCCGCTAATAAATTGTCGAAAATAAAAGAACGTGCGGAAGAATATGCGGCCCTTATTATGGAGGAGCTGGATCCCGACAACTTGGGATACATTGAGGTTTGTATTCTTACATTAATTCAAAGTCACATCCAAGAAAGTTCCATTATAAATTATAAATTGGCTCCCATATAGTGTACGTTTATATACTAAATACATAAATGAGCATGCATTGATTAAAACAACAATAGGGCTTGATTTTTAACATCATCAATAATAAAAGCCGAGATCGGGTTTGCATTAAAAGTTCTGGACTGCCCCAAGCAGAGCCCATGATCAGTAATAAAAAAAGTAGGTCCACGGCAAAAAGGGTCAAAATAGCCGGGTTTGGCAAATGATGGCCCAGTCAATTGTTGTCATTTAATAATTCCAAAACGTGTTACGAAGCCTAATAATTACAGCCGCAGTGAAGTGGAATGAATGGACAGAGACGTAGTAAATGCTGACGTTTTGTGGGTGGATGCAGTTGTACAACTTGGAGACCCTGCTTCTGCAAGCTCCAGCACAGTCAACGCACATAACGACGGACAGCAGAGTGCTGAGTCAAATGTTGAGCCAGAAGCTGGTCCCCACCAAAGAGTACAACCCGATCAAGCGGTGCATGAGTGGGATAGCCTACTTCGTGGAGGACAATTGGAAGAGGATTTGGGTCATAGCTCTGTGGATTTGCATCTGTGCGGCCCTCTTCGCTTGGAAGTTCGTTCAGTACAAGAACAGGGCCGTCTTCCACATAATGGGCTATTGTGTCACCTCCGCTAAAGGCGCCGCCGAGACTCTTAAATTCAACATGGCCCTCATTTTGTTGCCTGTCTGCAGAAACACCATCACCTGGCTTCGAAGCAGGACCAAACTAGGAGCCATCGTACCATTCGATGACAACATCAACTTTCACAAGGTATGCACATGCACATGCACACACTCGGCCCTCACTCATCGATCATGCATTATTTCAGCACAATTATCTGACGACTGACTAGAGTGTTTTGTGTGGATTCAGGTGATAGCTTTTGGCATTGCGCTTGGGGTTGGGACGCATGCGATATCGCATTTGGCGTGCGACTTCCCGAGGTTGTTGCACGCGACGGACGCGGAGTACGAGCCGATGAAGAAGTACTTTGGGGAAGAGAGGCCCAACAATTATTGGTGGTTCGTGAAGGGGACGGAGGGTTGGACCGGGATCGTCATGGTGGTGCTTATGGCCATAGCCTTCACATTGGCCCAGCCTTGGTTCCGCCGCAACAGGCTAAACCTCCCCAAGCCCCTCAAGAAGCTCACCGGGTTCAACGCTTTTTGGTACTCTCACCACCTTTTCGTCATCGTCTATGCCCTTTTCATCGTTCACGGTTACTACCTGTACCTCTCCAAGGAATGGTACAAGAAAACGGTATCCTTCGTCTTCCCTGTACTCCATAACTCACCCCTCCTTTTTCCTTCCACTTGTTGCTGAACTTGCTGTTGTGGCTTAGACGTGGATGTATCTCGCCGTTCCAATGATCTTATACGCATGCGAACGCCTCATTCGCGCTCTCAGATCCGGCTACAAATCTGTCAAAATCTTGAAGGTACATTTTTCTTTAATTTGATTTCCCGACTAAATCCATCCTCTGTTTTATATTTACCGCTGTTTGTTTGTTAAATTAATAACCGTGTGTCAAAACTGCAGGTTGCAGTATACCCGGGAAACGTATTGGCTTTGTACATGTCTAAACCTCAAGGATTCAAGTACATGAGTGGCCAGTATTTATACGTTAATTGTTCAGATGTCTCCCCATTCCAATGGTATGTGCCTCGTTCGTGAGTTGATAATTTCTATTCATTTTGCTGGTGTGAAGAGATGATAGCTGACTTAGATTTGTGTGGCACTTTCCAGGCATCCCTTCTCTATCACATCGGCTCCAGGAGACGACTATGTGAGCGTTCACATTCGAACTCTGGGAGACTGGACATCACAGCTCAAAGCCGTTTTCGCCAAGGTCAATAATTAGAAGTTCATATGGTGAATTCATTCATGTTATGTGAAATGAAAATCCTTCCTAGTTGAAATGCTTACTCATCCTCGTGACATTAATTGATTCAGGCATGCCAACCAGCAAATGAGGGCCAGAGCGGTCTTCTACGAGCAGACGTCTCAGCAGGCAACAATATACCAAGGTCAGGCTGACAAGAAAGACCAGTACTCAAATGATCAGAAAATAATTATAATAAAAGCATTTATATGCTTACTCTACAATGAAACTGAACATACTTGCAGGATGCCCAAGTTGTTGATTGATGGGCCATATGGAGCACCAGCACAAGACTACAAAAGCTACGAAGTCCTTCTTCTGGTAGGACTTGGAATTGGAGCCACCCCATTGATTAGCATACTCAAAGACGTGCTCAACAACATGAAGCAACAGCAAGACATAGAAGTGGGAGAGATAGAGAGTGGGGTCAAGAACAACAAGAGGAATAAGCCTTTCGCTACCAAGCGAGCCTATTTCTACTGGGTGACTCGTGAGCAAGGTTCCTTTGAATGGTTCAAGGGTGTGATGAACGAGGTGGCAGAGAACGACAAGGATGGACTCATCGAGCTTCATAACTACTGCACCAGTGTGTACGAAGAAGGAGATGCTCGATCAGCTTTGATCACTATGCTTCAATCTCTTCACCATGCTAAGAGTGGTGTGGATATCGTTTCAGACACAACGGTCAAGACCCATTTTGCTAGACCCAATTGGCGCAGTGTCTTTAAACGCGTCGCTCTTAAACACACTGACAAGAGAGTTGGTGCGTGTATATTAATTTCCCTCCTTGCTTGCTCTTACATTATATATTCCTTCTTGCTTCTGTGGCTCATTTTCATCTTCGTCGCCTACTTTTTCAGGTGTTTTCTACTGTGGAGCTCCGGCATTGGTTGGTGAACTGAGAAGGCTTTCTCAGGACTTTTCCAGGAAAACCAGCACTAAGTTTGATTTTCATAAAGAGAATTTTTAGACTATTTTTTTACAGTTCAATAATTCTTTTAAATTGTAAAATATATATAATCGTATGTAGCTGGTGCTTTTCTTTTCTATTTTTCTTGTAGGTAGGTATGAGAAGTTGCAATTGATGCGTTTATCCTCTATGTACATGTATGGTGAAATAGCATAATGTCTTGATGTTGTATGATTCCACTGAATCAAGTCAATCAATTGAAAAACTTCAGCGAAGACTAGTTTTTTTTTTTTTAAATTTGGTCCTCAAGGTACTCCGTGCTCTTAATTATCAAAACAGGCAGAAGGTGTTACCCCTCAAGGCTGACATGTGTCATATGGAAGCTGTGAGCTGGGCCTCTCCTTTGCCAAACGAACAACGGAGAACTTTACGTCAATAATTTCTAAAGAAAATGAGGCTTCTTTCTTTTAATCAAGATCAATGCTCGTAATATAGTATTATCAATCAAACGTACAAATGGAAGGACAAATTAATTAGTCAGTCCCTTAACTAAAAGCCAAATTGTAATTTGGTACTGTGAACTTTACAGAATGTGCAAAAAATATTAATTTTATAATTGACAAGTAAAGCCGATGCGACTAAGTAAACTTATTGAGTTCCTAAGCAACTTAAGAGAGAAGAGTGTGACGTGTGGAGTTTCCTTTCCAACACCAAAGCCAATGTTCGTCCAATCTGCATGGAAAGGAAGCTACAATGCAGCCTCTCACATATAAAAGCAGTGACAAAGGAGAAAGAAAATCCAGCATCTTTTTTTTCTCCTTTTATTGATTATTGAATTGCTTTTACGGTGTTGCATTTAATTTGGTTCATTTAGTTATGAGACCGACCTAGCACAGAACTCACCTCCCTTCTCGCATTCAGCAAACGGTTAGACTATAGAGGAAGTATCACTGTATCAGTAGGACTAGACGGTGAATAAATGAGCTGTCAAGCTGTGGGTTGTTTCTTTTTTTTTTTTTTGGGCAATAAAAATAAGTTGCATTGAAGTTGCTCTAGGAATTAGAACAAGCATGAAAGAAAGAAAATTCTTGAGCCAGAAAGCATCGGACACCGGGTGGAAAACGGAAAAAAGGCAAGGGGTATCAAATGCCAAATTGATAGGTCTCCACTATACAAATCGAAGTCTATTAAATAAACAGTGACATATTCAGGAACGTCTGTCCCTTACACTCCTCTGGCCCCACCATATATTTCCTTTCCAATTTACAGCGTCCCTCCACTTCATAAAAAGCCCCACTTTATTTATTCTTACGGCCAAAGTTTTGAGGCCCTCTTTGAATTTGCTTTATAGACTATAGTCTTTCCCTGCAACTTCTCTCTCTGGAAAGCAAGTCCAGAATCAATCTTCCAAGTCGGAATGGCTGGAACGGAAACAAAAGCGGAGGTTAGAGAAGTTGAAGAACAAGCAGAACCCTCGTGTGTAAGGTAAATCAATCACTGTGCAACCGTTTGTTAAATCCTTTTCTTCTGGTCAAATCTAAATTCCTGAGTCTAAAGGTTTTTAATATCTGGTGGCTCTGTTCCTCAGACTTGTGTGTTGAAAGTTTCCATTCACTGCGAAGGATGCAAAAGGAAAGTCAAGAAAGTTCTCCAGAGTATTGATGGTGAGTTGTTAGCCCCCCAAATCATCTCCAAAATATTTTTCTCTTTGATTTCACATGTACTCTTCTCAATTTCTGGCAACAAAGCGGTGCTCTTTGTTTGTTTACTCAAATCCTGCACTGCACTCACTGCCTCTTCATGCAGTTCACTTTTTAGTTGTTCTTGAAATATTCCTTGGCTAGTTGTTTAATATCTGTTCAATTTCAGTGGCAATCAGGGTTTTGAGTTATATATATGTATGTATGTATCTGGGTATGCTTTTTGGCCCATGTTTCTCTAACAATATTATTAGTTCTGAGCTCCTGATCAGTTTTCCGCTCCCTGCTTGCATGATACATCTCATTTTTCGAAACGTTCTCTGTTTCTCATGTGCTCTTTTTACTATTCTGGGTGATCTGATGAGTGAGCATCGTCTTCTTTCAAATTTGAAGCTAGCCCTTAATATTATCTTCGTTCTACCTGTAACCCAGGTGTTTGTAGTATAGACATTGATTTGAGGCAGCATAAAGTCGTGGTAACGGGGAACGTGGACAGCGAAACTTTGATTAAGAAATTGATAAAAACAGGGAAGCATGCAGAGTTATGGCCCGAAAAAGCAGAGTCGAAAAAGAAAAAGCAGCCAAAACCAGAGAACAAAGAGAAACAGACCGACCCAAAAAGCAGTGAAGAAAGCAACCAAGGCGGTGATACCGAAAAAGAGACTGTCAAAGTAGTCGAAGACGCCGAAGGCGGAAACCCCGGCAAAGATAGCAATGAAGGACCACCAACCGGTGAATCCGGTGTCCAGTTCCAAGAACCGAAGCCGGAGGTGAAGCAACCCGTGATATCACCGGGCGGTGACCCGTCGCCGGTGGCCGGGAAAAAAGTTAGCATCGCCGTGCAAGTTGGCAATGAAAATGAAGCAACTCCGGGGAATGAAAAAAGCGGCTCTGGCAGTGGAGGTAAAAAGAAGAAAAAGAAGGGGCATAAAGGGAATAACGCTGGCGAACACTCGGGAGGTGATGCACCGGCAGGCGCTGGATCGACGAACCCATCACGGGGCCCAGGTCAAGGCCATGATCAAGTTCCGGTTCCATTTCCAAGTCCAGCAAATCAGAGCCCTCCACGTAATCCCATGTACGCTCAATATCCTCCACATCACAATTCACCCCCGGTGTACACTGTGAGCCATCACACAGCGTATCCCAGCAGCAGCTACAGCACGGCGTATTATACGGCCCGACAGCCGCATTCATACGCGCAGGTGCATTATCCGGGGATGACACGAATGGAGCCTCCACTGTACGATTCCGAAGCGGGCACATCACAGCAGTCTGATTCATCATTCGAGTTCTTTAGCGACGAAAATCCAAACGCGTGCTCAGTCATGTGAGAGGCACTGCGCGTGATGATTCCATGGAAGGGCCAATCTGGAGTTTTCACGAAAGATCTAGCACATGCCACATACACCTCGTATGGCCGTGGGAGTATATTCTTATAATGCATGTAGATATCATAGAGGGGTTTTAATTTTAAAGTCACAGCGTGCTTTAAGATAGAGAAAAGTTTTATTCCATGATTGTTTCCAGCATGAAGGGGAAAAAAGGGAAGACGGGTAAAATAAATGGCCGCGGATCTCTGGGTGTCCAGTTTTTGTCCACTGCTGCTCTAATTAATTACCGTATTAATTCTGATGTAGAAATATGATTATCCTTCACGTACTGCTTCGCGGTGTTCACTGTTCCACCTTGCTTTGTGTTTGTTGCTTTTCTATTGTCATAGGCTAATTAGGGCGAGAAGAAGGCTGTTGGGAATATATGCTTAATGTCGGTTAAAGGCAAAATGGGTCCATGGACAAGACTTTAAGGTAGTTTGTGTTAGCATAGGCGAATCGAAAGCAAGAAACAAATAAATTTTGGCCATTTAAATTGTGTATCTTGAAACGTGTCATGCTGGAAGCTTTTGTTTTGCACCCGCCATTTGCTGGATCTTGCTCGCCAATGGTTGTGTGGACTACGAGGCCGCTTGAATCAACCTCAGAACATATACATATACAGATGTTGACTGTGAAGTGGGTTTTCCGTGTCTAAAGACTCATGCAAATTATTGCCGGGGGGCTTCTTTCAAAGAACAATGTGTCGATTTGTTGTCTCTAGTCTCTACTTTGATTTTTCATTCGGAAAAATACAGATTATTACTTAATTAGTATTCGCCTCAACGGAAAGGGCTTCTTTTTCTAAAAGAATTAGCAGGTGTACGCTCAGCTTTTCTTTTTTCTTTCCTCTTTATTTGAATCTCCAGTTTGTTATTTTCAGCTAGCGAGCTTATCGAATGCAACAGAGTAGGTTTAAGTAAGCTTTCTTTTAAAAAGCAATAACCAGTTGGCTTGTGAAGAAAACCCCTTTGGGGCAAAAAAAAAAAAAAAGAGCTTCCTTTTGCTATATTTATTTCACCACCTTGCCTATGCTGATTTTGTTTCAAGACTCGAGAGATAGCTAGACTCCGCTTTGATTCCTCCATTTCTATCGTTAGTTAGGTTGATCGCACTCGGTGTAAATAAAGGGTAAATAACAGAAGGAATGGCGATGAGATTCGGTTTCAAGAGCACGTCATTTTCTTTTGGGGCAATTTTCAATCCTAGAAGGATACAGATGCAGACAAAGCACCCATGCCCCTGCCCAGCGTGTTGTGGTGGATCCAGCCTTTTTCAATTTTATTTACGTGTTCACAGCTTTCTTTAAATCTCTGGAAAGCGCTTTATGGCTTTGGTCCTCCTATCAACCCCAGGCATGTCTGACATTCCCTGGACACTTTTAAGCCATACGTAACTTTAATAAATATATTCTTATACTTCCCTGAGGAGACCGGATTCGCTGGACTTCGGTTGTCCAAGGCAATCATCCAAGAGGATAATAATATAAGCAGACTGTTCGTAGTTCCTTATAAGGATCCACAATTCACCTCTGGAACAGGTATCCTCCAAACTACACATCCCCAGATTTCATTTTCTGATAACGAATCTAGTTCCTTCAATCCAGTCCACATTCTTATCCACTTAATTCATTTTGACTTCGACTGCAAATTATCAGCCCTTAATTCGCCATCGTTGAAAGTGAAATGGGTTTCGATTTGTTGAGAAGAGATACATAGACGAAGATGCAATACATGTTTGGTAGATGTGGTTTAAGAACTTCAAAATCGGGAATAATCCATGTACTGTGCACTCAATTTGTTTTCTATGATTGGGGTGTAGAAAAACCTCGATGACACTTCTTGTGAGAGGGGAAAATTGAGAGAGGAGATGCACAAGGATATACTATGAATTAATTAAATGATGCGGTTGGTTACAAACAATAATAATAAAATAAAAACCCATAATTACGCTTGAGAAAACTACTTTATTTTCTCCTTATTGAAAATTTTGAATATTTATTTATTAATACGTTTAATTTATAAATATTAAAGTATTAATATTTCTTAAAAATATTTTTACTGGTTGGCAAGTGACCGATCAAATAATAATTCCTTTTAAAGTACCATAAAATATTATAAAATATAATATTCAACACATATTTTAAAACATAATTTTTTAAAAAATATTTTATATAAAAAAATTTGTAACTCTATAGAATAG